GATAAGGGAGCTTTGAGAGTCATTAAGCGTTTCAGATATCTGGCTTCTATCACCACCACTGTGAACAATTCTGGCACACGTTTTTGCAGAATAGAGTATTTTACATCGGACCACTCTAAATGACTTTGTTTACATCTTAACCATTTAATAATATAGAAATTTTTACAAATCAGTGGAATTCCCTTTTAAATGAGGTACTTTGATTGAATATAGCCCATTTTAAAGCATAGTAGTTTTTAAAGAAGAAACACTGGATCAGAGCTGATACTCAGGGTTTCAATATTGTTATTGGTACTGGAACTGGGAATGGCATTGGTGCCATCTCTAATTTGGCTATACGTATGGTAAATGAGTCATTGTTTTAAAAGTGTTCACAGAAAAACATGGTCAATTTTTCCAGTCAAGTCATTCTCATTCCCTTACTTATTCATTCACGCCATCACACTGTGATTTAGAAATCTGAATGGACAAGACTGGTCACAGGTGCTTGCAAAGAGGACACAATGTAGACACCACAATGCAAAAAAAACATATTTATTTATTTATGTAGTTATTTAATTAAAAGAGAAACAATGGTACAATAACCATACTCATTTTTTAACTCTTCTTTTGACATTTGCCAAAAAATAAAGACTGCAACACACTCAGTGCAAGAAAAGACACAAACTGTGACATCACCATGTGTATGTCGTAGCCCCCCGCAGTGCAACAAACGCTTCCACAGAATAGAATAGTATTTACACACGCACACGCACACACACACACGCACGCACACATGCCAGAGAACACGTACCAGTACGTCAGGGTTGGGGAGTGAGAGTAAGAGAGCTAGATGGTTTCTATAACCCAACCTGTGTGTTCCATAATCAGGACATTTAGGTTCTCTTTTATTTTTTCTTTTATTTCCTTACACAATGTTGTATACAATGTAGTATACAATGTCCTTGAATCCACACATTTTGACACAAATTGTGTGCTTGTTGTGTAAAAAAAGATGTTTTTTGTTCTTTTTATTTTTTTCGGTGAGAAAGTGTGTAGTCTATTATCTTTTCACATTTATTTATTTCAACATTTCTTTCAATGTTGGTGGCTAATTCAATTAGACAAAGTGTGCCATGAATGTGCAATTCAAATGGTCAAAAAATGGAATTTCTGAATTCCATTTTGATGGTTCTAATGGCCAGTGATTCGTTTTGAACTGACCTACAGTTGTATGCAAAAGTGAATAATACATGTTTTGTTGGCTTTTTAAGTGAAAATAAGTTAACACATCCACAGGGAACAAACTTACATATTTTTTCTGCTATTTTAGCACACAATTTCTATTTATTTGAGATTAACACAAAAAAAAATGAAACAATGTATAAATGTTACATAACCTATTATGTTACATAATAGGCCACATTTTATGTTTTTTTTTTCCCCCAATGTGTTAAATTCAGCCAATGAACAGCAATTGCACATTAAAATGTGAAGAAGTGAGTTGTCTGAAGAAAATGTATGAACTTATTTTCACTTAGAAAATCAATGAAACATATCATTTGCACACGACTGTATCCATGCTCTGCTCGCAGATGTGTTGTTTTGTAGGAATGGTTGCTAGGCTGGAAAAGCTTTACAGAGTATTGACAAAAATTTAATTACAGCTAATCAGAAATTGTAGCAGTCAACCCAGCTTTTGCTTAAATAATACATTTTGATTAATATAAATTTCAATTGCTTTTATTTATTATGCATGTAAAAGGAACATCTGATTGATAGGCTAAGCAAAAGGTTTGCCAGACAAAAATTTTAGAGTCTCTAAAATTACATGATTCTGTCACTTACAAGGCCACCTACTGCACAGGCTACATGTAGTTCAACTGCACAAAAATAAATACCACCTGATCTATCCTATAGCGTGACCTTTCACGTGTACAAATAAAAATCAATCCAACTGAAAAACACAATCTACATGTATTAATATATCAATATTTTGCCAAATATATCAGCTACAATTTCTCATTAAGCTGAATGGAATTTTGGCCAGAGTTTTCCAAAGCTCGTCCAATCTAGCAACAGTAGTTACGATGAACACTTATGTGGGCGGAGCTTGGATTAGTCTATCAGAATTCCTCCAGGAATTCTGTTTCCATGGCAATGCTGATATTGCAAGCCATCAGCATTGCTCTGTGTCCTATCCATGTTTTCTGTCATGAACTACATGTGCTGAACGGTCTAAGGCCCTTTCAAGTATCATTAGTTACAATTTTCATCTTGTCCTTATGTTCGAAAACATGACACAGTGCAGCGTTTCTCTCAACAAACCACCTTCCCCTGAATATGCTTAAAGCATCGAAAGCTTGTACAGGCATGAATGTTGCGCTGAAAGTGAACAGAATGTGTTTAAATCTGCTGTGGATGCTGGACCACTAAAGAGTCATGATGGTTCAGTATTTTCCCCAAGGTCTAGATGTTTGCTTTCACTTTGAATACTCTCTCTAGACTAATGGTTGACCTTAACAAAACCCTCTTTGAGGTGGATTAGTTTTACCTGGAGGAGTGCTGTAATTTGAGTGATTACCAACAAGATCCGTGATTTTAATCCAGTATGAATCTGCCATGTCCGTAATTTTTACAAGTCTGCTAAGTAATAATTCTGGAGTGTAAAATCTCTTCCCTTTTTTGTTGTTATTGGGTTTTTTTGGCACCATATTTGCCACTTAGCCGCACAATGTGTTGTTATCAGAAGTGTGGCGTCCAATGCTGATGCAAACGGAATTCAGGCTATTTGGGGCAATATTGGGAAAGAACACAGATCCTATAGCCCGTATGAACTGGCAAGTCAAATCACGCACAAATTACGTTTCTGAGCCTCCTCTGGTAAAATGAATCCAGCTCAAATTGGGCTTACGCTATATTTAAGAAACTGGCCACTGAATGCCTAATGGCTGAACCATCAGAACCACACCACCCACTAGTTGTGTAAAATGCTACTAAAGTACAGACCTAGCACCTTGCCAAGTCACCCTCACTTTATTTTATCTTGATTTGCTCTTGTTGTTGTTGAGTTTCTCTGTATCGCACTCTTATTTACTTATTTACTGCACAATTCACATTTGACCTTTTGCCCCCCCAAAGTCTCCGCCACTTTTAGTCACAGTGAACCCAGGTCTCCAAGGCAACGCTTTTTGCATGGATGTCAGCTCTATGAGTGTGTACGTGTATTTATATGTAGGTGTGTTCGAAGAATGGAGATCAGGGTTGAGTGGGGTGCCATTGGCGTAATGGGGGAGGGCTTTAGGTTTCACTGACCCCATCTTTGGGGGTGTGGCTTTGTCACACCTGAGCAATCACCAATCAGACGTTTAACATGACATCACAAAGTCCTGCCCTCAGCAGTGCAAAGAACTAGAGAGTACAGTGTCTCCATGGTAAGCAGTGAACACCACAGCACGATGCCATTCGTAGTTTTAGAAGCTTGTGAAAGTGCTGCCCTTATTAATGGGCAGAGGTGAAAGATGTGGATTGGTCCCTCTGATGGCTGGCAGGAAGCCAGCCGATCAATGTTTGTTAAATTACTACGATAGCCAGTAAACAATGGCTAAATGACACAACCACCTGATCACTGCTGATTCACTATTTCCACCTATCAGTGACAGAAAACAAATCAGAACTCTATACATCACAAAGGACAACTGACATCCACACTATACAACTCCATTCGATTCTGAATCAAATCAGTCCAGTCCACTCTGGATCGCTTTGATTCAGAATCAGATTTGAATCTGTTGAATTCAAGGTTCACTCTATCAAGGCATGCGCTTTATTCAGGCATATGGTCGATCTCTCCGCCTATTGCCATGTCTGATTCCTGCTATGTTTTCAATCAAGCAAACAATTCAGGTCACGATTCCAGTTCGTGTCCGTGGTCCAGGTGTGGCTGGACATAGAAATATGGCTCTTCCATAGTGATTGTAGTAAACTTGGTACAGATGTGGTAAACTTGGTACAGATCATGGTAAGCCTGCCGGTTGCTGATCTAAAACGTTTCCACTTTTTAATGCATGCACTGTGGAAATTTTTGCAATAAGTGTTGTTTCTTGGTAAGCGTAAATGCTCTTATATGCTAGAACCATGTAAACCTGTTGAGTTGGTAGTCTTGAGTGTCCACAAAAAAAGGCTACAACAACAATGTCAAAAAATGTGCCTTTTTGTTATTTTAGATGTTTGGTCTTGAGTGGGATTACATGTAAACTAGACACTCATTTTGATTGTGTTAAGAACAGAGTGAATATGAACATGCTGAAGTTGTGTCCATATAACAGGGTGATGATCCAATCACAAGCTGTGCTGATCCAACTCTGAAGCAATCTGCTTTTTAAAATGCACCCAGTTTAGTACATTTTAACGTGACCTGCTGATCAATATTGGTATATTTGCCTAACACAGTGAAAAACGTGAACTAACTGGCTTTTAAACCCTGCTAACCTCTATCTATTGTTAGCCAGTTTAGCATTTTTGGCTGATCTACCCCTTAAGAGTTATAGCACTTGTTACTACATATTTTTGACTGTGTTGATGTAGTCTTTATGGCGGGGACACTGAAGAAAAAAGTTGAACAGCACCAGAGAAATCAGGCTTTAAAGTGGTTGACGGCAACCTCTTTGTTTTTGATGAGAGATCAGCACCTCAAATACACACAACAAGACCTCAACGACGATCCACTATCATAACGATCCGATTCAACATCCAAGTTTAAGATGCCAAAATAGACTCCTTTTCTTAAAATAGTGCTTTTGTTAAATCACCATATCAAATAAAACTTTTGACATTCTTTTAACACATATATAAAAACTGTGGCATATTCAATTCTCACATAATTCATTAATTATTAATTCAATAATTCATTGTTATACTGCATATATGTTTATATATATATATATGTGTGTGTGTGTGTGTATATATATATATATATATACATATATATATATATTCCCCCTTCCCAGATGAGTGTCGATGCAACATATAAAACAAACAAAAAAAGAAAAGTAAAGAAAAAAGAAATTAAATAAAAAGAAATACTATCTTTGAAACAACGGATATCATCTCATGGCTAAACGTCTACAATTTTCCATTCTGAGATGTCGACTCATTTAAGAGAGTTCTCCTATATAAAATCTCTAATTACTCTAAGCATATTTTAATATTAAGACAATTTCCAATATAAAAATATTAAATATAAACAGTGATAAGAAACCAAGGAGATTGGATCCCTCAGATTTAATTTGATTTGCTACAGAAGTTCACTTCCTTTCCCTTCATTACTATTGGTGGTCAGCTATCATTTTGCCACACCCTCTCACCCTGTATGTTCCCATTCTTCGTTGGACTGGGGCACACACTCCTTCGGTTAGATGGCCGTGTCCCAGAAGACAGTGGTCTGGGTGGAGTAGGGCGGAGGGCCGTATTTCTTGCCCCCATTGGTCTTCTTCCAGCTGGGCAGGATGGGCATGCTGTCCTGCTTGCAGAGGGCCTTGTCCGGAGGTTTCTGCCGTGCTTTAATCTCTTTACACAGATGCCGTTTCTTCTCGATCATCTCCATCATGGTGTGGTCCCCACATGCCCATGGAAACGGGGGCATCTGGGGGGAGCAGGAGGCAGGGTGGGGTTTGGGGGATGGGGGTAAGAAAATGCTGTCTTTACCCTTATTCTGCTACCATAAGAGAATACCAGTCATTTCCAGTCCCAGTCCTTGCGATGCAATCCCCATGCAATGCACAGGTGGCCTTGCCAACAGTTACACACTGGACTGATCTCATGACGGGCTATAACTGGCCCAATCATGCTCCACCCACAAAAGTGTTCTTTAACAGCTACTGTTATGACAAGAATTACAGAATGCTGACAAAAATCCTATTTAACCTAATGAGAAAATTTAATGTACAAATCAATGTCTGTCAATGTACCTTAATTTAGACCGTTATTTTTCTATGAAAGTGAAATGTCACAGTATAGGATATACTGGGTGTTGTTTCGTTTGTAATGTAATTGACAGCTTCAGCTGTTTTGACTTTGGTAGCTAGCTAAGCCTTTATTTGTCTCTGTCTAAACTGATATAACTTGAGCCAACAACATACTGTCACACTCTGTGTTGGTGTGGTAATTTTGTATATAGTAGCGTGTGGAATACCCCATGTTTTTTGGGGGGTCCCATATTGGCTGGCTACTCCATCACTGGCTGACTGCTAACTGACTCATCATAGCGTTACTGATGCTACAATGTTTACAAATATTTTACGACATATTGTGAAGTTTTTAAGATGTAGCCTTGGCATTGGCTACTGAGGACCAACTGGGTGAACTAATCTACTACAGCGCCACCCTGAGGCAGACCAGTGCTGCAGCTCTAGTTAGTTAAGAATACCAATGACAGAAGCTTGCTTACTGTGGGTGAAGCAGCTAAAAATTGACCCTTCCCCGAGTTTATATTTGAGTGTCTACTTTTCCCTAACGAACAGCATAACTTCATAATAAATTTGTTTTCAGGGACCCCCCAGAATTCAGATTCTGAAGCATTCAGGGGGTCCAAGAGGTAAATTAGGAGGACCCCCCATGACCCCTTGTATTTCACACCTTGAGTGTAAGTACGATAAAGAAAACTGTTGGTGGCTAATTATTTAGAGCAATTTCAGCCATGCTATAAGTGTAGGCCAGGATGCAAATTTAGCTAACTAATAACGCTTGCATAAGATCTGTGCCAACTTCTTGTAAAGCTTGTAACAGTTGCTATAAAGGAATGCATTTGTGGGCAGAGTATGGATAGGTTGAGTCTCTAGGACTGGGATAAGAAACCATCATAATGGCAGTTGTAGACCAATTATCTCTAACACAGTGTACTTAACGTAAATTGTTAAAACAACTTACATTAAGTACATCTTTCTCAGATTATTACTGTTATTACTATTTAAAATGTTATTACATTTAACATATTCACAAATTTTATTTGCAAATGACATTCATATTCCTTGTGTTCCTTGTGAAAGGGTGTTTTAGTAGCACTGTGCAAGAGTGCTTGTGAATTTTATTAAAGGTTTTTGTGGGAAAAGCTGTTTCATGATTACAGTATCATTTTCAGCCCTATTTCAGTTCTTTAGAAGTCAAAGGAGCAATTGCTGAGACACACACTCTCTCTCACACACACACACACACACACACACACACACTCACAAAATCCCTCGTGATGTGCTCATGCGCACTTAAAAGTCAAAACAAATATGCACACACTCTTAAAATAATACAACAATGCAGACACAAAGGCACGTGCACACACGCACACACACATACACAGACACACACAAAGTTGTGCTTTTGAGGTAGGAAGCAGACAGACACATAAAGGACAGCAGAGGCAGGAGAGAAAAGTATGCAACTTTGACAGTTTTATTTTACACTTTTGTGTTAGTTATTTAATCAGGTCTGGGTTAGTTTTGTCTGAATTTTTAACTGGTTAGTGTCATATACTATTACTGCACAGTCACACATAAATAGAAGTTTGGGAGCTTAGTTCTTTAAAGGGCCCATATCATAGAAAGTTGAATTTTCCTTGCATCTTTGAAATAAAAGATGATGATATGATAAGTTTCAAAATATACTACTCTCTTTCTGGTTCATGCAGCTCATTTATTGGAAACTAAGCTGAAAAAACGGCTTGTTTTGAAAACAAATGCATTTGCATATAGCCACCTGTCGAGCCTATTCACAATGAAATTATAAAGAGTTTCAGCCTGTACTGCTTTTTACATGAGGCACAATACAGGGCAGCCAGTCAGAACAGAGGTCATTTACATATATCAATCTTAAAGGCACAGTAACGAAACAGACACACAAAATCATAGTCACGTAAAAACTAATTACGACTGCTCTTGGAACATACAAGAAAATATAGGATATGGGCCCTTTAATTTAATAAAATTCAATTAAATAGGCTGCGTGTAACACTAATTCTTTGGGAATATTCACAGCATGTTCATTACAAACTGTTTTAAACAATGTTTGATGAATTTTGAACAGTTTTTTTGCTAATAGTTGCACAGAAATTTACATTTCGTTCTAAATGCAAAACACTATGTGAGTGTGTGCATGTGTCTGAGGTTCCCCAGTGCCAGTCACTATGACAAACTTACAGCACTTGGACGAAAGAAAAAAAACCTGCACAAACACATTCAGTATAGAAAGCAAACAGGCAAACACAGAAGTGCATTTGATTTGTATCCTTGACTTCTAAACTTTGTTTGTATATACATACATCAAACAGTGGAGTTTGGATGGAGTTTTAGTACAGCTCCACAGTAAGCATCAGGGCTTTTTCACTCTTAGTCAACACAAAACATAATGTAATTATTCTGTATGTAGCCATTAAAAGCTATAGCTGACTTGAAAAGAGTTCTGACAGTGCTATAACATGACATGAAGACCTGCATAATCAATGTGTAGGTTACATACACTGAGTTACTAGTTTATTAGAAACTCCTACCTTGTACCTACATTCACTTGGCATGATATTGACCATATACAGTCCTGTTCAAATGTCAGAGACCACACATCATTGATTAATTTTTTCCAGTCAAAATGGCCATTAAATACAAGCTATTCATTTACAAGAGGTACTTCTGAGGAGATCAGAGATAAGATAATCCAATTTCATTATAAGTGTTCTCTGAACAATGGGCTGGCCAGACCCTAACTGAATATGAAAAGCAGAAAATGCAACCAATTTCTAAGACTGAACTTCTGAGATGAGGAAAAATATCCCTGCATGTTTCTTTGAAAAACTGAATGCAGGTCTCCTGGAAAGAAGCTGTAATGTAATGAAGGCAAAGGGTGGACACAGTAAATATGAAAAAAGCCTTCTATGTCATTCAGAGCAGCGATATGTTTTTTTCCTTAGGCAGAAAGATGAATAACTTGTACTTAATGGTCGTTTTGACTGGAAATTTGAATAAATGAAGGTGGTCTAGGAATTTTCCACAGTACTGTAGGTGCATTTTGTGGGTTTACACTTACTGACTGTAACCCATCTGTTACTGCACGGTCCATCACCCACACTCTTTTCTAAACATTTCAGTGGTCCACCAACTAAAACTATTCAGCTAACAATGTTTATGTTGTCAGAAACTAACTACTGTTGAAGAGGTAGAGGATGACAAACACATTGTGTATGGAAAAAGATGAGGTGTATTCTGTATGCCTGCCTACAAGGTGTACCAACAACGTGTCTAGCATTTAAACATACAACCATGTCATTGCTGTGCCGAGAATGGTCCACCCAATAATAGCAGGTCAGCAGCGGTCATATGATGGTCTCTTTATATTGATTGATGGATGGATGGATGGATGGATGGTAAATTGTAAACTTATAAAGTGCACCTTTGGTATTTGGTACATGTTTATGATAAAAGTTCCAATGATTGTAGAAACAAGATACTCAAATCCAATAAACTGGAAACTTATGTATATGTTTTCTCCAGTATGCTTAGACTATATTCATTAAGCAAATCTATACAGTATTACAATCAAAATATCCATTAAAAGAAGTGGCTGGCTAGATGTTTTAAGTAATTACTGATCCTGCGCTTCATGGAAAACTAGGTATTTATATATGTTGTTTGATGTTTGTACATACATGCAAAAACATACATACATTATCAGCAGAGAAAACGTTAAAAAGCTACTAGGTCCAGAGTAGGGTTGTCTGCTTTTAGAACAGCCAGAATAAAAACCTTTTTCAACACAAAAGTGTTTACTGTACCACGTTAAGAAAGGCAGCCCTGATCTGGACTGAATGGAAACAGGCGACAATGAGTTGTGTGTGCTGTGAGCCTTGACCCACACCATACACACACCATCAGCAGAGCCACAGAAACAGCAGCAACAAGGATGGAGTGGACACACAGCCAAAAGTTCATACGGTCGAAAAGGACACAAACATACAGCAGAACAATCGACAGACATGGAGACGGGACAGAGTTCCACATACATGCGCTCTCTCGCTCACTCTGAGGAGTAAGAGGTTGGTACCTGGAATGGGGTCCCACTCTGATTGGCTGAGGGTTCAGGGGCATGCCTCTGGGGGGTTCCAACAGGTGAGGGGACTCCTGATGTTGAGGCAGAGCGACCGAGCTTACAGGCAGCTTTTGGTTCTAGAGAGAGGGAGACATGTTTGTGAAATACTGAAAATGTTGGCTTTTTCAGCACTTTAGATTACAAAGAAACAGATTTTTAAACATGCTGTGCAGTTTGAGCACTGATACTATGCCACATGAGTAAATATCTGTTCCTTAGATAGAGATCAGAGATAAGATGATCCACTTGCACAGTCAAAGGAAAATAACTGAAAATACATGAGCTTAAAAAATTTAGTAGTTCGAAAACTATAAATAGTACATTTTTTGAGAGATGGGAGAAGATCAAGCTCAAACTCAGAACTGAAAAAAAAAAAATCCACTCATTCCACTGCGAGAAGACAACTGAACAGTACGGGTCTGAAAGTGTGAAGCCATTATGAAGAAAAGGAAACAGACAAAAAAGTGTTCTCAGAACAATGGGCTAGCCACCCCAGAGTCCTGACCTTAACTGAATATTAAAAGCAGAAAATGCAACCAAGAGTGTTTTCCTCTCTTTTGTAAGTGACAAGCTCGTCAAAAAAAGGCATGCATATTCAGTTTTGGTTGAAAAAAAATCTTAATAATTTTACAGTAAATTAACTACTTTTTCACATCAGTTGTATTTTATAAAGTCTTTAAGAGCATGAGGAAGAAACACTAAGACGAACCAAGACTCAAAAGCAAAAGCTCTGTGGTTCTGCTTATACCTGGTATTAACATTAATGTCTTGAGACAAGTGAATACTAAGACTTACATTTGTTTACACCTGGCATTTCCAGCTGTCTCAAATGCATGTCCAGTTACCACTTGTGAACGGATTTCATGACTAGAGGAAGGATTCCATAGATATTTACTACAAACACAATTCCAGAAAAGCTGGGACAGCCTTGAACATGATATTTGATGTACCTAATGAACTCTATTCTTTTTGTAAATATATGCTCAGTCCAAATATGATGCCTGTGAAATTCCAAAAAAGTTGGGACAGTAGCATGTTTACTACTGTGTTACATCACCTTTTGTTTTTACAGCCCTTAATAAACATTTGGGGACACCAACCGATCCAGTTTTGAGCAGAATATTTTTCCATTTTTCAGTTATACAAGTCTTTAACTGTACAGGGCCTTTGTTGCATATTTTGCACTTCATAAGTGTACCACATGTTTTCAGTAGCAGAAAAGCAGGCCAGTACAGCACCTGCATTCTCCTTACACAGCTATGCTATTGTAACACATGCAGAAAGTTTCCTGAAGATATGTCGTAAGCATGGATGTCCCTGAAAAAGACAGTGTCTAAAAGGCAGCACATGTTGCTCCAAAATGTGTATATATCTTTCAGGGTTAATGGTGCTTCACAGATGTGCAGGTTACCCATTAAAATCCCCCGATACCACAGCACACCTTGGCTTTTTAACTTTAGGCTGGTAACAATCTGGATGGTCCTTTTCTTCTTTGGCCCAGAAAAACATGACATTCATTATTTCAATAAACAATCTGAAAAGTTGACTCATTAGACCACAATACACGTTTCCACTGTGCATCAGTCCATTTCAGATGAGCTCAAGCCTAGAGACATCAGCAGTATTTCTGGACTGTGCATAGTACAGTCTTAAATTTGTGCATGCATCGATGAACAGAATTCATTAACTGCTGTTTGTCAAAGTAGTCCCAAGCTCATGTTGTGACATCTATCAATCACAGAAGGGTGCCGATTTTCAGTGCAGTGCCATCTGATGGATCAAAGGGCACAGGCATTCAGGTGTGGTTTTTGGCTACGCAGAGATTTCTCCAGATTTCCTGCATCTTTTAATAATATTATGCACTGTAGAGGGGCGAAATACCAAAGATCCATGCAAAAGTTCAATAAAAAGGTTGTTTTGAAACAATTGGACTATTTGCTGATGCATTTTTGGCAAGCCTTGACCCATCCTTGATCACAAAGGACTTGGGCTTTCCTGGATGCTCTTTTTAGACTCGGCAACATTGTAAATGAGGGTCATCCTCAATGTTCTCAGAGATCTGAATAAAAGTTAATTGACTGATTAGACAAAAACATGGGTGCATCACCTCTTTTAAAATGTTTTCTAACATTTAACATTCCTAGTCTTTAACGGCCCCGTCCCAACTTTTTTAGAACATGTTGCAGGCATTAATTTTAGAATGAGTATAAATTTGAAGCGTATGATTAAGTTGATAAGATAAAACTTTAAATATCCCACAAGCCCTTGATTGTGAACATGTATGGGCTGTTGCAAAAGTGTAGATTGCATGTATTGCTAACACAACTTCTGAGAAGAGACAAAGAAAGAGGCTACACAAAGTGGCCTTCATCAATGTTGTCGAGGAAATACAAAGCTTTGGTGTTCATACGCATCCTTGACTACGTACCTATCAGATCACAATGCGTCTCCACAATACACTAGACTTTTTCACACTTGCACTTGATTGGGTCGCCTAAGACATACGGTAATGGTATGTGTAAACTGGGCCAAAGAGCATGAGGGAGAATTTATTCTCCCTTCCCTTGGCTACACCAGATGTGGACAGAGATAAAGTACACATGGGTTTAATCCCAGATTAAAACAATGGGAAAAGTTACTTTTAAAAGTAATCTATTACAGATTAGTTGTTATTTTGAGCAGAAGTAAGCTATTCCACAAATCCTAATACTGTAATATTCCTAAACAGCCTTTTTGTTTTTTAAAAGTATCTCTGCCAAACTGAAATGATGCCGTTTAGCTAATGTCTGAAAGGATGGAACTACTGTACTCTTACTTCTTTATGGCAGGCAGAACACAGTAAGGCACAGAATTACCAGGAATGTCTGGAGAAATCAGTGTATGCAATTCTTCATGGAAAAAAGCAATAATGGTTTGGTTACCTGGACAAGTTAACTCTTAACATTGTTTTTACATATTTTTTACATACTTTATATACTTTACTCAAGAGCTAATAATTAGTGCAATAATGACATTACACCTGTAATTGTTTGTGAACTTAGCTGTATTCCTTACCTGAAGCTCCACCCCCCAGCATGGTGGTTGGACTGACAGAAGAGCGGCCCAGACGAGTGGGCGTGGCAGATTGTCCTGAGGGTGTGTCCCAATCTTGCGCTTTTGGAGATGAGCTGCGTAAAGCTCGATCCTTACTGTCAGTACTGTGGCTCCTGGCTTTCCCCTCAACTACACACATGCACACACACACACACACACACACACACACAAGCTTTAAAGAAATGCTCTGGCTGTTTCATAAGCAACAACTGAAGCTTTAACCATCATATTTTTATTTCATGATTACACACATTTACTCTATATGAGCACACTGTGGTAGGTTATAGACAATGTTGCATTACAAGCTGCCACTGAACTGAACTCTGAAGAGAGCGAGAGAGAAAGGAGTGTAACAATGGGGAGAGAGGGGCTAATCTCAGCTGAGCAGGATAAGACGTCTGCCAATGAAAATGCCAGACAGCCCAAAGGCACAGCAAGTCATACACAATTTGACTCTCCCTCTCTTTCTCAAATACGTTTATCTGCAGAAGTCTGTTGCTTTTACTTACCCCTCTTTTCTCTCTGACTGCTGTTTCAGGAATCTGAATACAGCATCATAGTTCTGTCATCTGGCACAAACAGAGACACATACAGAACTCTGCTGACACTACAAGAATAATGTGACTGGTAAAGAGCTGAGAGAGATAAAAAAGAAAGAGGGGCATTAACTGATTCATAAAAAAAGCTGGCCTTGAATTTTTTTTGGTTTATATGTTTATATGTTAGGCTTTTGTATTCTTTTGGGCTTCCTATCCATGAAGTGTTGGCAACAGTATTCAATGACCTGTACATGCATGTTAGCAGGTGAATAAGTAGATCTCAACCACATGGTGTCACTCTAGAGCCAGTACACACATACCATAACTGGTCACTACTCTGATAAATGGGTTATGTTGTACATTGAGAAGAAGGTATACAGCATACCATTAACCATTAACCATAACCAACATTGACTAATATATAAACTTAATCTATCTTCAGCTCAATTTTCCAAACAATATATAAAAAAAAACAAATGCAAGACAATGTTAATGCAGTATTCCAAGGAAGACATATATATAACAATGCTGGCATTTAGTTGGAATTGCTAAACTAGGGCTGCCTAAAGTGTGGCCAGTAGGGATGGGATGTTTGATTTGGCCCGCCCTAACCCTACCCTCTCACCCAATGAAAGAACAAACATACTTTGTACTATATGTAACTTATTAATTTCTTATTTTCCTTTTAAAATTGTGTTTTGGAATATTTTAGTAACAGATTATAAATGATAATGAAGCGAAATTATTATACCTACTGATTTGAAACCTAACTACCTGCTTTATTTGTATATTGCTTTGTCTTTTTGGCCTTTGGCCCACCAAAAACCTTGGCTGCCCAAAAAAGACTGGGCATCCCAGCGCTAAACATTACTGTCCTTTTAATCATACTGAGTGTGCTTTCAAAGCATCATCATTTCGCTGGCTGAAGTCATGTCACGGCCTCCACATTTGACACCCAATGGTCATTTAGTCAACTAAATAAGCAGGTGGTATCTTCACTGTGACTGGATTATGCAGTCAGTGGGTTCATACTTGCTAAGTTTGTCCTCTCCTGTCCTTTCGTCACTCTCTCTCTCCCTCCCTCTCTCGCCGGGGACCTATTAGTGATCACATTCATCATGTCCTTCATTCACTCTGAAGGCATTAAGGAAATTGCTTTACTAACAGATGAAAGCTTTTCAATTATTTCAGCTGGAAAGAGTTTGTGTGTATGTTTGTTTTGTGACGTTCATGAATGGGATGTTTTTTTTTATGGTGAAATATAGTGTTGTATTTTGCATGACCCAAAATATTTACTTACTTATTTGTGGCCACACCTTAATAAAAAATAATTACATGTCACCTTAGGGGCACTGTACCTTCCTGTTTAGGCCATAGTTGTTAAAAACAATATGATTTAAATTTTTTTGGACAAATTTAACAACCAAAAGCAACCACAACACACTGTTAAAAAATCCAGAAATGTTTAGAGTGAATTATCAGGGGGAATTATTCACCCCTCCAAATATTAAAGAGGACAAACCCCCTCTTGCCCCTGTCAAATGTAAATGTGATATGTCATCCATACTGGTATACCATGACATTGATAGAGCATGACACTAGTTTTCAGTTTAGTAATATACCTGACATGTAATGAACTTTATATACATAATATAATGACCATAAAATAGTGATGTCCCTGCTGCCAAGCAGTTTGTTTTTAGCTGTTTCATTCAAAAAATAAAAAAAAAATTAATATCATCTGACACCACACTTCTGTGGTACAGAGAAGGGCAACATGACAATATTTTATTGTCATTGTGCTATATTTGTGTTTGTGATAAACCATATGCTGTTCTAAGCATATTGTGGATATTGTCAGTCCTTAAAACACACTCACCAAGTGCATGTTTCATTAAAAGAGTATGTTTAGGCCTGTTTAATTGTATTTGGTGTAGCACAGTATGCGAAATGTTGAATAAAAATCACTGCCTCCAGAGTTTGTAACTGCAGTTTTTAAAATATGGCTCTAGTGCATTCTGTTATGTATTGTGATACATATCGTGCATCATAAAAATGTCTTTAAGTATCATGATATTTTTGCCATATTGCCCAACCCACAAAATATATTCCAAACATATTTTCATATTGAATTTTATTAATTAACCAGCACTGATCTTATAAAACTGTTTTATTGCTGTTACTCAAAATAGTACTTCTGTATGCTAATACCACCTGGTTCAAAAAACATTCACGTCACTATCCACATATATGCTTGGGCAATTGTACACACAAACACAAACACACACGGGTCCCTGGGCATGTCTGCTGAGTTTCCATTAGCCTGGGCTGTCCAGCTCCATTACTTTCCATTTAATTAGTTTCCTCTGCCATTAACAGCAGGTGCTAACGCTAATGCTGTGGCAAATTTATCATCTATAATGAACACACAAGTGGCACCCAAAAAGGGGTGTTTAAACACTGCTCTGTGTGTGCACGTGTGTGTGCATTTGTGTGTGCATGTGTATGTGGGTGTTAGAGTTTGTGTTATATAGTTTCCTTTTACAGCAACTAAGATCCACAGTGGAACAGAGAGAAACAGCAAGCTATGGCCAGCAGTTCCAATGATTAAAATCAAATACACTCAAACAATTGCAGAATGAGTAATAGGGAGGGTCAGGAGAATTTGTGGTGGGCCAGTTATGTTTTGGGCTGATCTATAAGGAATAACACTGCATTTATGAAGGTGCATTGATATTACTGACCCTCCTTCTCAATATAAACACAAGAATTCACTGATGAATTGTGAACATTATAACCTATACAGTCTACACACGTTAGTAATTTAGAAGGGTAAATCCACAGCCCCCCTCCTCAAGTCCTAGACAATGATGATGATTTGATGATTGTAATCGGTCAGCCAATGAGTCTCGCATAGGGCTTGTTGCAGTTCAGCTGCATCTTTCCTTGGTAGTTGGTTGTCTGCTGTAGTCAGGAGAGAAACTGACTACAGCAGACAAGTTTTACAGGCTGCACATCATATGAGCCATGGCAGACCTCACATAGACCAGCATTCTCATATTAGATGTAAAGTTTCTCTGAAGAACATACTTTTGAATTTAACCTGAAAAAATAATAATCAGCAATACCGCACATTTACCCATTCACCCTTTTACCCTATTTACCCACACATTCACCCCTTGTCCCTACCACTTAGCCCTTGGCCCTCTGTTTTGCGCATTTATGTCTAGGGGTAGGGTGTCCCGATTTTTGTTGAGGTAAAGGGGTAGGGCAAAGTGTTAGGGCCACATGGCCCTTCAAACGGAGGTTTTTCAGAGGCACACTCCAAATGGTATAATGAAGTGTTATGAGAAAAAACCAGCATGATGGCTGCACAAGCGACCAAAGAAACCCACAAATGTGAGTATTTTCTCCGTAAAAAATATGATAATCATTGTTTTATCTTAGTTTGATGTCGTTTCAATGTATTATGGTCCTTTTCTTCATAACAAGCATAAAAAATCACTGCTAGTATGCTAATGTCTCAGTAGCTAGCTAGCTAAATTTCGCGTTCCACCTTAAGTAGTCCAGCAGTACTGACAACTGAAGCGCCAGAATTTGCTGCTGCTCCATTTAAGGTGGAACAGGAAAATGAACCAAAATTAATCGAATGAACACCGGGCGAACAGCTGACTTCAGCTTCATATCACCGAAGAATTAGGGGTGGGCGATAATAAATAATTGTCGCATCCCCCCTCTTTGAAGGCATAAGATTGTCTAAATGTAACTAAAGCCCAGCAGTGAGGTTGCGGAACTTTACCCTCCTCTGCTATCACTGTAGACTGGCAGGGTCGCCTACAGAGAACCACTAGTAGCTGTTAATGAAGTAATGTTCTTTTTTATTTGAGGTTTTTTATTTGAGTTGTCCCATTTCATAAGGGAAGATTTCAACCACTACCCTTTGTATCTCAATTCCAAGGGGCAAGGTGAGTAGGGGTAAAAATAAGAAATGAGATTGGGCCTAAGAGTCTAACTTGGTTGTCCAGTGAGGATTACAGAGACATTCTGGATAAATTGAAAAGTTTAACCATCGCTACATCTGCTGTATACATGCCTACTCGCATCTTACAGTAGTGCCCCAGTGGTCTGTAGAGTGGGATTTTCTGGTTTAAAAACTAGTAAAATCTCTTTCTGATGATGTACATTAAAGGTGTTGGAAACCTTTTAAAAAACTGCAACTGTGTTGGGCTGGACTTTTTATCTTAAAGTTCAGTGGCTGGGCTAGCAGTCAGGATCATTCAAACACCGCAGGAGTTCCCAACGGCTGTATGATGTATTTGCGATCCATGCTGGAAATTGTAATGAGAGAACACAGATAAACGAAAACACAATGAATACATAACAAAATAAAATCATGAATTCTGTCAACTGTGGCCTACTTGCTCTGGGAAGATTATTATGATCTAATTAAAAGTCTAACTGGCATGCATTGTACTAAGCTAATTTGTGCAGGGCTGCGTTAAGTTGAACACAGCTACTAAACCTGTTTCACATTTGACACAGGCCTGCTCCAGTCAACTGCTGACTGGCTTGGTACAATGTCTGCCGGTT